TAGCTATGAAAACTGTTTTCATCGTACTAATTTATGAAAAACGAAATGAAATGAAGTGCAAAGGGAAAAGTGATCGCGAACCTCACATCGAGCACACTCATACTTAAATCTACATTGTATATGCAGGCAGATAAACAGCCTCTTCGGAAGTGATACCTAGGCGAGCATTTACACCAAACGTCAGGGCCCGAGGATTACAGCTCATGTGTTGAGTCGCGCACTGTAGTCGAAGGTGTACTACACATAGGATCAAGTTAGTGATCCCTCCTGCGAATTAGATCTCTGAGTACGCGACTGCAGAGAATGGGCAGTTTTCGCTGCTTAATACGCGCACAGGGGCGCTATGTGGCTAGAACTTGCAACCGTCGGCACCTTAAAGGGAGCTTTAGGGGAATTTCGGTATGTAAGAGAGCTCAATAATGAAGGTGGTAAAGGTGGAGTGGGTGATAGTGAAAAGTCTCCGTGTCAGGTGAGAAAAGGTAAGAAAGATAGAATCAGTTTCCGTAGACGAGTAAATCAAGCAACCACGCATGTCACCGATGCAGCTGCTGTGCGCTACGCTATGGTCTGTCGTCTCCATCTGTCGCTCTCTTGCTTCGACACCCTGTTTCCTTCATGTCGTCATAATCACTGTTTCATACTTGAACTTCATAGTTACCACCTTCTGCTATCGCGAAATGTCCCGCTAGGAATATTACCATTACGCATTATCGCATTCCAATTATTTCCTATTACTGAGGATAGACGAGTTACATGAGCCCTGTTCGTCTACCTACCGTGCATAAGCAGGATTGCCGTCGATCTGAATTGCTTCACGTTTTAATTTTCTTTCTTGATGTCATCCATCGACTCCTCAGACAATGGTGCGCAAGGTGATTCCAAGAGATTTCAAGGATGTCATGGAATCAATGCAGAGGGACATCTCGCATTTACGTTTAAACCAGATCACAACTAGACGCCCGGCACAGTACAAAATGACAAACTAGCATTCGATTCTATTCCACGAATTCAACAAGAAAAGATGTGAATTCGGAAAAAAATGTTGAAGTACTGCCACTCCATACACACAAAGGAAGAGGTAGACGTCTACTCCCTCATCGGCTCATAAAAGGAGTATAAGAGCTTTTTCGTTCTTAGAAGGTATCAAGCTGAGGCATAACATTATCATATTTAAGGTAAAAATAAGACCGCGACAGTTACCAGAGGGTTCGGTGGGCAAAGGCCAGAAAAATGAGAGGCGAACGTGCAAAGGATTAAACAACCCAGCAGAAATTATGCGATAATCAGTGGGTTACGTTCAACAACATTCTGCTTCCATTTTACTCATCGTCAGGCACTTGAATCATTGGAAAGAAACAAGAGTCATGAGACCAACAAAGACTGAATAAATGAGAAGGCATAAGCTAGTCCACCCTTTTCAGAACATGCAAAGCATTCGACTTCTATTCCATGTGTAAGGAAAAAATTATGACAGCGTCCACTAACCTCCAGAGGGTCCTCTTGTTTAGAATCCTTGAGTTTGAACAACTCTTCCTGACGAAATTCGGCATTGGTATCCAACAAGATCTTGCAGTCCATACAATAGACTTAACAAATACAGAGAATAAGCCCAAAAGTAGTCCGCAGAGGCGATACGAAATGGCCTCAAGATCTCATAAAACAAAATAAAGGCAAGCCCACCATTTCCGTTGACATCTTCAGCCATAGGGTTGATTTCCACAAGAGTGGCATCAGTATGACGAAATAGCTCATACAGTTTGAATATTATATCAGCAGCTTGCTTTGAGCAGTCACCCTGCAGAAAATCTTCATACTATGTATCTCTATCACACTGATCCGGAATTATCCGCCAGTTTTTTGGTTTGTAACTTTTCTAACTTTGTTGATTATTGTTGATGGTTTCAATGTCATTCAAACGATCTCCCAAGCTTTCATTTTTTAGCACTTGTATATTTGTTTCACTGCCAAGCTTACACAAAGCAAAAAAAACAGCTCCCTCAGAGTCCTCGGTCGACTACTTGCGGTCGGCCAGCTCTTAGATCGTAACTCAAATTCGAAGTGCCAGGCAACATGGTCTAAACAGTCTTAGGTCCTAACGTACCTAATCATCTCATGTTTCAACGATACTGACTAGCTTCAGCAACATTCTTTCCTCTTGTAACTCATTCTTATGACGCCGCAATAATGTTTTCTGCGCTCGTGTGAGCTCCATCAGGTGTATCACCTGTCGTCCCGTTGATCATCGATTTGCTCGAGCGGGCGCCAGCAACGTCTCCATTCGTCCCTGTCGCGTGCAAGAGTTGTCCAGTGGACCCTCCTCGCTCGAGGGACACGAGTCCTTCATTCCTTTCGTTCAGAGCTTTCGTGAAGAAGTCTGACCATCGGGCCGGCGGTCGTCCAGGTGTTCGTTTGACGTCCCGAGGGATCCAGTCGGTAACCGCTCTGGTCCAACGGTCATCGCAAAATCGCATGACGTATCCGGCCCCTATCCGACTCACCTTATCTCCGATTCCTGGGCGAAAACGGCAACGTTCTTGAGCTTCGGCCGTTAGCGTAAGTCGTAAAGACTCTGCCTTGGCGTGTATAGAGTAACTCCAAGCACCGATCTCCTCGCAGTACACTGAACGACGCCGACAGCATGCTTATCCTGCTTGCGCAGAGGTTCTCGTCTTCTTCGATACTCCCTCGACGTTCTTATATATAACTCGTAAAACTCATACTCCACAGTGAAGCAATACGTGTAAGTGATCTATTTATATATTAACCCTTTGACGACCGCCGTTATGAATGCGTCACTTCACTTCTTTCTAAATTTTTTCATCAATAATCATTAACTCTCCAACAATTTCACTATTAGTAATTAGCGCATTATTCCGCGAATTCGATAATGTATTTGTGTAGTTTTGAAACATAAAAAATGCCAAAATAAACCCCTAAAAACGTGTCGCCACCGAGCGAAAGTGTGGCCCACCGGCGGGCCACACGGTCGTCAAAGGGTTAAAATGCATGAAAGGTTGTGGTTTCGGATGTCATGAAAACTGTTTAACAAAATTAGAAAAACAATCAGTCCAAACAAACGGCGGATTATAGAAACCATTTTAACCCGAAGCGCTATGTCTGTCTTTCTGTGTATTTGTTTGTTTGTTTCTGTCACTATTATTTGTGAAATGAGCTGGGGAGTTAAGGAACAGGGCGACGTCTGTTGGTGACACATCGAGGTTTTTCGCATTTGATAAACTGAAGGGGGAAGGGGTCGTGTTGAAGTGGAATGAGAGTGTCCCCTACCACAACGACGACGAGAATCTCAAATACGATATTCGTTTCCACGATCCCGGTACGCGAGGCAGAAATACGACCCTTTCCCCCTTCAGTTTATGGCGACACATCGTGGGAAAACCCTCTATGTGTCGCCAACAGACGTGGCCCTGTTCCCCGGCATCCCGACCCACAAAAAGAAGTAGGGCCCGAGTCCGATATGAGGAGCAATTAGTACAACAAATAAATCTCTGAAAGTAGTGATCGAAAAAAGAGAAAGTACTAGTTATGTATTTACCTGGAAACCCATTCGATCAGCCATATCTGCAGCGATTTCGGTCGTTACGCCGACGCTCATATCAATTGGAATTTTGATAATAGCATTAGGTTCAGTGGCGGCCACCTCCTCGATATTCACTCCACCTCGCGACGAACCGATCAAAATCGGTCCCTGAAATCGAACAGATGATGGAACACCTTAAATGCAGTAGGGACGACAAATTAAAAGTTCGAAAACATGCTTATTGTAAAGGAAAGCTCAACCCCTAAAGAAGCAAAGACTACTTGACTATTCCTCAATGGTCCTGCCGCGATGGCTAGAGCACAGACGATTAGAGAACGGGTGAATGCCCTAGGACTAAGCCTTGGAGAGGAGAGGGACCCGCCAGAGAGCGCAGAGCGCAGAGGCGGTTTAAAGGGCTTAAAGGAATCTTCCACGGACCATGGACCAGTGGGCGGGACCGGAAGTTTTTGTGACGAAATGCATGGTAGGTACGGATCCACGTGTCGAACGCACGAACGTGAACAGGATTCACTTCAAACCTTCCCATGAACGTGGATCCGTACCTACCATGCATTTCGTCGCAAAACCACTTCCGGTCCCGCCCACTGGTCCATGGTCCGTGGAAGATTCCTTTAAATAGTCCGTCGACCATTTGGCGGTGAATAGTGCGCACGTATCAATAACAAGGCCTTACCCCTAACTAGGGTAGCCTTCGCGGCTGGGCCCACCTCCGATTGACTGCTGAAGCCGCTTGATACGAGCATCCTTTTTCATTGGCACTCTATCTAGCTTAAGCAGCACAATGCATCCGTCTATCACGTCGAAGCACGTTCCAGCACGGTCAAGGAAAAGTCCCATTATATCACTTCGAGCCTCTCTTTGGCGCTTCAAGTTACTCTTTGACGCGCTCCGCTATAATAGACACCTTGTCAGCTGTTGATACATCGGCTTCACCTCATCGGCTCATCACAGTTTGATCCCCAGTTCCTTAGAAGGGGGTATTTTGCGCAGCTTTTCACTATTTCGGCAAGGATTTTCTACGCATCTGCATGATGAAAGAGTAGTCCTGTCGGTTTCCACACCAATCAATTCGTCTTTTGTTTCAGCGGTCACCATTTATAATGGCTCCGAGTTCTAGAGATCATGTAACCAGGACAGTATTGAAATTACCACGATACTTTGAACAGTGACCTGGGTATATCGATTGAAACGCCGATTACAGAAGTGTGAACTTTCTAAGGCGAATGTCAGAGTCCGCGATCCTTTGCGCGATTTTCGCGATTTGCACGATTTTTGAATGTTTGTGGTTCTACTTGTTTCATGTTCAATGTCTATTAGTTCATTGAAATGCTCTTGAATCGTTCCTATTTTTTTCAGGAATCAAACCAAACCAATCATAAAAATTGCAAGTGCCCCATTTGAACATTTGAAACACTGAATATGAAACAAGTGGAATCATGAGCAGTCGTCATTCAACCATCACCATCAAGCAGAAGTGACGGCGGGATTGGAGAACACCTTGCAGTATTGATGGGGCACTTGTGATTTCCGTGACCCGTCGCGCAAATCGCGCAAATCGCGAAAATCGCGAAAATCGCGCAAAGGATCGCGGACTCTGACATCAGCCTAAGCAAACTGTGAGCGGCCTGGGTTGCCAGAAGACTAGGCTTTTGTATATTGGAGAGCTAACCCTCATGCAACCAAGGTCCGTTATCGATGAAGGGAGGACCGCTCCATTGCACATTTCATTTGAAATTATGATAGATACGCAAGAGTGGAGGACACTTCTTAGTTTCCTTTATACGGTATCTAAGAATTTGTATCTGGAATTGCTTGACAAGAGAAATTGAAAACACTTTCACAATACACTGAAGACCTCCAGAAGTTAATGAATTTTTTTGTTCCTAAAAGCGGTTTACATTGTTTATCGTCCGCAAAGTAATTTCGCTTGACTTACGCTGGTGTTTCTATCCAGAGTTATCGAGAAGTAGTACTCACGACGTGTGAAAAGACGCTTGCAAACCATCACCTAAAAATAGAGAGCACTGTTTAACGCACGAACGCCAACAATGTCAATGTGAGACCGCCGTCATACTCGGCGACGGACAAGCGATGGAGCGATCGCGATCGCTCCATCGCTTGTCCGTCGCCGAGTGTGACGGCGGTCTGAATGTGAGCTACTTTATGTACATGAGTTTCTTGAAAGAACACAGGTGCTCCTTTTGCTGCAAAACGTACCTCGTCCCGCTCCATTAAAATTCTACCTCCCTTTATAGTAGATGTATTCCCCTTATTCGACATTCGATTTATCGTAAAGCTTTCCTTCAAAAGGAGGGTTCCACGATAAGGTGAGAGAAGGGGACACCTACCTAGTGGAAAGACAGATGTACACGGTGATTGCGCGGATCAACACGCGATTTACAGCGAAAGATATGCTCCCGACGATCTAGCAAGGCTGTGCCCGCACCGCTAGCGCAGCGGCGTGTCCACCCAACCGCCATTTAGTAGAGGGAGCGTTAGCGTTGTAGAGGGCAGCATCGCGATGGGCAAAGGAAGGGGTCCCATTTCTCGAAATCTGCGCCCTTTCTCATGGTTGTCTTCATCCTTGCACCACTGACTACCTCTACCTTGACTTCTAATGAGCTTTCTATTCATCGCAAACTCCGCCCTTGAACGTGATCACAACTAAAATTCGTAATTCCGTTACAGGGCGGCCTGGAAAGCGGAAAATTGATTGGCCTGACAAGTCGAGAAATGGATAGTTTGTTCAAAGTCGCTTTTGCTTTTGTAGTGACACAAAGCACACATAGAACATAAATACAAAGTTTACTCCTCCTGCCTCTCAGTTAGTAAGTCTGAAAGGTCTAGAACCGGTACATGGTCCG